GCAGCAGCAGCAGCAGCAGCGGAACCCTTTTTTGGGGGCCAACTTGGCGCGAGCCGAGGCGAGGGCGGGGCGCTATCAGCCTACTCGCCATCCGCACTGGCTTTGGCTTTGCGACCTCCACCATCTGCCGTCGAGCGCTGCTACATGACCATGGCGCCCATCCGGATTCCATCTGGCAGCTACACCTCGTCGCCATCGGCTGCAGGCGCAAGCACTGCGCCTCCGTCGTCGGGCTGGGACTACATCCTCAAGTTTATCCTCATCGGCGACTCGTCCGTGGGCAAGTCGTCGCTGCTCGTGCGTCTGACCGACGACCGGTTCCTCGCCGATCCAGATCCGACGATCGGCGTCGAGTTCGGCTCGCATCTCATCCGCCTCGACAATGGCGAGACCGTCAAGGTGCAAGTGTGGGATACGGCGGGTTCGGAGTCGTTTCGCTCCATCACGCGATCCTACTACCGCGGCGCAGCAGGCGCTCTGCTCGTCTATGACATCACCCACCGTCCGAGCTTCCTCAACGTCAAAGGCTGGCTTGAAGATGTGCGATCGCATGCAGAGGACAAGGTGAGCATCGTGCTCGTCGGCAACATGTACGATCTGATCGAGCAGCAAGACCATGTGTCCACAGATGGCGGATCGACACCGTCCGACGAGGCAGTGCAAGATACGCGCAGGGCAAGGATCGATCGCAGACGAAGCAAGGGCAAGAAGCGCGAAGTGAGCACGGCCGAGGCACGGCAATTTGCGCAGGAGCACGGACTGTTGTTCGTAGAAGCGAGTGCCAAGACGGGCCATAATGTGCACGAGGCATTTGCGCAGGCGGCGCGCGATATCCACAGCAAGTTCTCGACGCCGGAAGCCGAGACGGATGGCGCACCGGGGGGTGCGGCAAAGTACGACGGCGGAACGTTGGGTAAGCGTTCGCGCATGCGCGTAAGGGCTGCAGGCCGCACTTCCGGCACCGTCGCACTCGAACCATCCGAGCCAGCAACAACCACCCGCTCGCCGAGCGGATTCTCCATCCGCTCACTCACGCCATCCACACCAGCGTCGGGCGAGCAACAGCCGGATCGAGCCCCGAGCGAGTGCTGCGTCATAGCCTGACTACCTCAATGCAAACATTTCCACAACGAATGGGATGAGAGAGGGACGAAGGGTTTGCGTTGGCCTACTTTTTGCGGATGCGTAGGAGTTGCGTGCCCTGTCTACGGTAATCTACTGTGCGCGCCGGGTCGTCGTCGGTGACATCGGTAAAGACAAACTTCTTGCGCAGCAGGCCGAAGAAGCGCTTGTCTGCCTTGCGACGTTTCTGGTAGCAAAACAGGATCTCGGTCTGACTCGTGGCGAGCGCCTCCATGGTATCGATGAGCGGCTGGAAGGCCACTTCCAGGTACACGCAGTCTGCCAGCAGCAGCACATCTGGTGCGGGGATCGAAGCCGGGATGGGCGAGCCCCAATCGAGTTCGGCTACATGCAACTCGCCGCGTCCATCCTCTGTGCGCGCCGTGCTGGGCGAGGTGGTGGGGAAGTTGAGGGCGAGATTATCGCGCATGAGGGCAAGCATGGCATCTTGGTCCGTCACGTATACTTTCGCCTCGAGCTGCATCGCGTGCACGAGGAAACCCACCAGTCCCGTCCCCGACCCCAGCTCCAGCACCGTCTTTCCCCTCCAATCCCAGCCGTGGTTGTTGAATCCTTCCTGCTGCTGCTGCTCCTGCTGCTGCTGC